ATATATATATACTTTAAGGATCACTGCACAACCTCTGCCCCGGATATCTCATCTAAAATTTGCGTAAGTTCTAATTTAACATAATTAAAACTGCTCGAAAAAACAGCACTTTAACCACGTTCGCCACATGTAATTTCGTTGCTCTCAGGTTTGATGGGATCCCATTTTTCCTGATTAAATGCGTGTCTGGGTTTTCAGTTTCATTCGAGGTGTCCTTATCTACGTTTTTATATAATTTCCTTTCTGTGGAGACGAGCAACGGCCTTGGTGTGCATTTTCAGAAACATTAATAAATAAATTCCACTCGTTAGTATGCAGTGACTTATTCAGTGTCGGAACAGTTGGAGTTTCCGCCCACGAACGGGGTCTGTGGATCGATAGCTACCACTCTGGGGACTTTCTGGTTTAAAGTTGTGTCCGCTAAATATTTCCTGGGCTGTTTGGCTGGTTTCCATTCTCTCGACAGATGCAATGTGACACACTGCACCCACGGACCGTGTGAAAGTATAACCTGTTACCTGGCGCCACACCTGCATTTAACAAAAGATAATTAGCCCGTAGCCGGTGTGTCTGCTTCTCAGCAAGCGCATTTTATCCTGCACTCTACTCACTATTTGGTGTTTGGATTTGTTGTATTGTGCGATTGAAAAAAAAACTGAGATCTAAATAATCCCATTAACAAACATTCATGCTGTTTATCCAGCGTGCGGCTGCTGCGCAATCAGTTTGCTTCTGCCTCCTTTTTGACGCATTGGATTTAAAGGCGAAGCAGCGGAGTTAGATTTAGAGTTGGAGTTATATATGGCTGCCTTTTTGTAGCTGTTTGGTAATGTAGGATACCCAAGAAGAAGAAGAAGAAGAAGAAATGACTGTTATTGATTGGCTCTGTGCCTTTCGTTAAATTTGGGATAAGGGACGAAGAAAGGCAAATTTGTCCCGAGACACCCGAAGAAGAAACCCGCCGGACGGACAGTCGGGGCCAAACTGGAAGGCGTCCAGCTGGTAGGCTGAGCAGGTAGGATGAATGAAACTGGAGCTATGACTGCGTGTGAAAGGCGACTGGTTAGATATAACATCCAAAATGGCTCGATAAATTGCACGTTTTTTTTCTCCATGGATGCAGAAAAAACATGAGCCAAACTTCACTGATAAACAGAGCTATTCAAAAATGCGAAGCTTTTTAGAAACGAGATTGAGAGACAGACAATTTTCGAGACACGTTCATCAATTAGAGGCTTCATTCTTTAACACGGCACACAATTCATTAAGCTGCGCAATGATTTAGGAGTTTAATAGGTCGGGCTGGTAGAGTTAGTTATCCTGTATAGCCCTGTGGGTAATACAGCTGTGTGAGTCATTTGAAATGGACCGTGTCTGTCACATTATATCTTGCATGCCGAATAAACTTGAATAGTGTTCCAGTGTGTGAACAAATCTCCGTTTTCGGTTCGTGTGCGTTCTCCTCCCCCTTCTCCAAGGAAGCCTTAAATTGCTTGATTATTCAATGGGGTTCAGTTCATTCTTCATGGCAGAGACGCAGCCACGTGCTAAACATGACAACCTCATTCTGCTGCCGTGGAGTTGACAGACAAGATGCTGCTATGCTTTGGGCACCACACATTCGTGTTGCCTTACTTCACATTAGCCAGCTGACCAGGATAATGAAAGCTATGCAAAGGCAAATTTACTGGAGGCTAGTTTTATTGGACAAATGTAATAGCTTCTGTAGTTTTTGGAAACTGTTACTAAAGGGCTTGGGACTAGAATTCCTGGACTTCTGTTGTTGTGCTCATCAAATGGTCAGGACTGAGTCATACTCATGAAAACCGTGTTTATTTATTTTTGGCCAGTCAACAGAGAGCCTCACAAAGCAGGACACAGTGAGGGCAGTTGGGATAGCCTATCAAGATATCCACCCCTGCTGGATCATGGGTAACCACAATGGCAAAGACAGCCATGTCCCTACAGGTAACTCAGCATCCAATAGTCCAATTTCAAAACACATTAGAGAAATTATTTATAAAATACTGTGTATAAGTTTCAGGCTTTGTATATTTATTTATTTTTTGTAACTGTCTTGTTTCTTCTGATCATTATTTCTAAGTCTGACTATTTTTAGACTGTTGGTACGACAGGTCCAGGAAACTGTCAGCTCCACTTCATCTCTTTGTCTCCTCTGTATTTCCAAGTGTGAAAAATAAACTGTCAAAGAGACGGCACGAGAAAGACAGTCGGTTACTTTTACTTTGTGAGACAGCACGGCAGCTGGGGCTCTCGCACTGAAGAGGGCGTCAATCAAAACATTTGTGCTTGTTGTGCTTCCACATTACCAAAGGATGAAAACAGGGTGACTACAGAAAGTGAACGCTTATGGAGACATTTGCCTGAAGGAGTTCATTCTCTGTGCCATTCACTCACTATAACAGGTTTTAACACTCCCGTTAAACAAAGATCAGACAAAGAATGTTCCATTATATTCCCACAGTAACCATTTTAATTTATTTATAGTTATTATTTTAACCAAAGCTCAATGTTTTGTCTAAAGCAGCAGAAAATGTGTTTGGAACTGTTTTAGTAAACTCGAAATAAATACTAATTTAAGGACAACCATTTACAAAAAAAAAATGTAAATGTGTCAGTGAGGATGCTTTGCATTTTATAGACTCACTCTTTTCAAACCAAACTAAATTCTGGTGTCGGGCCCTGTATGATCAAAAACCATATTTCAGCAAACAAAATGATGAATCAGCATGACAGTGAAATAGAAACCACATCCAGTAAGATTCAATAAAAGTTGGGATCAGAGTTTTAGCTTCTTCAGCCCTTCAGTATCCTTGAATTCAAAGCGTCACATTTGGCTGAGCTAATGTGTGAAATTTGACTTTACAACTTTATAGGTCTAGTCTTTTTGTCTCTTGGCTGTCGGTATGCAGGAATTCGGCTCATGCTAGAGGATGAGAATAGCTTCCCCATGGTAGCTGAGCAGACTACATCATGCTGCTGCCAGGGAAATGATGAGTCTGCAGAATCCTGCAGCACAACACAAGGACAAGGAGGGGAAAGCTTAAAAAGATCAGAGTCAAAGGAGGCGAAGATCCATGTAGCCTGCCAAAATTTCCACACCATAAACAGGATAATATCAACATCACAGAGAAATCCAGTAGCTGTAACATTAGTTTTCAGCAACAGATGACACACTAGTGGATATTTCCTGATTTGACACATAACTAAAATGCTAATAATGCATTAGCAAAATCATCATTCTGCTCTCCAGGTGTCTTTTTAGAGTTTTTTTTTTTTAATGTGTTTATATTTTGTTTTGTTTTTTTGGTTTGTTTTTTTTCTGCAGCTCTTTATAATATAGTCACATTTTGGCTGCAGTGAGGATCAGCTCTATGATCAGGGTAAAAATTATCTCTCTTCATGGATCTTGCCACATGGGGGAACAGCCTGCATTTGCCAGCCAAGATATTGGCAGGGGAGGTTTTTTGCTGCATCAGTCTGCCGAGGATAGTAAATAAGGAAGCAGGCAGCGAGGCTTACATCTGCAGTGAGGAAAAGAAGAGGGGTGGCTTTGCAATCGGCACATTTTTCAACAGATTTCAGGACAGTGCCGTTTTTCTCCTTTACCTATTTATTTCCCTCCTCTCAGGTTCTCCTTTAGATTTCTTCCAAACGCCTCCTACCACACCCTCACAGGCAGAGCTGACTGTCATGGCCTTATCCTCTGCAGCTTCCTCTGATAAGGCACAAACTCCTCCAGCAGCTGGCAGCACCACCACCTCTCCATTCACAGAGTGGACACAGCAGCTGTCGGCTCCCTCAGAATGGGCTGTAATCAGCGTTGACAGCGTCGCTGCCTCAGAGACAAATGTGAGCGATGCAGCAGCGAGAAATGAGGCAGCGGTGGGCAGTCCGGCCACTCCAGTACCGCTGCCTTTATCCAGAGGTTCGCCTTCAGAGCCTTGTTCGAATGAGAGAGACAGCAGGCTGGAGCCACAGGCTACAGCAGAGAGAGCTGGAGAGGAGATGACCTTGGTTTTACTCAGTCTAATGGAGCACTACAGGGCCTCACTGGGCCTAACACCCAGCACTGATATTACCACAGGAGCAGTAGGTATGCCCTCTGTCATCACCTGTTTTGTTTGTTTGTTTGTTTTTAAGTGTGCTGTCACTGACACATCAGAGATGTGTGGTGATGAGAAAGGAAGCAGAAAGTCTTTGTAGTTAAAGATTACATATATATTGTTAAAGAAGTACGTGCTCATAATAAACGTGGAAAAAGTTTCAAATAATGAAATCTGCATGCGAAGGATCAAAAAAGCTCAGGCTTCACACTCCTCCCAACACTTGTTTTCAGGCAGTTTTTTTTCTCCACTTCTATATCTGTATGATATTAAAGAGATGCAATATCCTCAATATGGTCTTCTCCAGCACAATGGTATGTAAGCACAAAGGCCCCACCTACCTACTGTTAAAACCTTGTGTTTCTAAAAAGCAGCAAATCAGAAAAAGCTGACTTAAAAAGAAAAACCTAGTCCCAGGATAAAACATGGAACTGAAACTCAAACGTGGAATATGGCAAAAAAAAAACAAAAACAAACTGGTATGACTCCAGGAGCTATCCATCATAGTTATAAGTGGTTTAAATATCATCATCACCTACTAAGTGTCATGTGGAAAATTGATTATTAACAGCAGCATAATATGCAGTAACTTAAAGGGACACCTTTGTGATATGGTTGTTTTGTTTTCTAACTCGTGTGTCAGAGCTGCTTCGGCATTTGATAGCAGAAAGAGAAGAGCTGGTTGAAGAGGTGGAGACCCTGAAGGAGACACTCAGGGTGAGTTGTTGGTCTACAGGTTGCAGACAGTGAGCTTGCTAATTATTTAGCATTCAGAGCTGTGTTTTCATGCAGCATTTAGTGCTGCATTTGTCTAATTCTGTGCACTTATTTCTGTTTTAAATGTCATGTGACGACATCGCAACATTCACATTCCAACAGCTCTGGTCAGACTTAAATTCAGTCACACGGTACTGACTAGTAGACAGATATTTATGTAGTAATGACAATTGGAGAGCAAGCCTTAACGTGGAATTACAGTGTTTCTTTGTTCCTCAGACAGAGAGGTTGGAGTGGCAGCAGTTCCAGTGTGACCTACAGGTCGCTGTGTCTGTTGCCGACCGGCTCCGGGTTGAGTCAGAGCAGGCTCTGGGTTCACTCCAGGAGAGCCACAGGACTGTAAAGGAGCAGCTGGCACAGGCCCTCAGCAAACAGCAGGACACGGACCGAGAGCTAGAGAGGCTGAGAGCTGAACACAAAGACGCCTGCTGCAAACTGGCTGAACTGGAGAAGCAGCAGCAGCAGGATCGAGCAGAGCTCGATGCCCTCAGAGGTCAAACATATAAAGATGCAGATAAACCAGACTCTGAGGAGCAGCAGGGGGAAATGCTTGAAGTTACAGAGGAAGCTGAAGCAGGGACAGAAGCTCATGAAACAAATCAAGAGGTGGATGCTACAGAAAAAGGCTGTGATCCTGAGGAGACAAGCGAATCAAAAAATGTGCAGCTGAAAGGGAAAGGGGTGGCAGAGGCATACATTCGCAGTTTGACTGCCCTGGAGAAGAAGAAAGGTGACGGACGTGGACAGAAAGATCCCAGAAAGATTGTGATGCTCTCTGAGAGATCCTGGTGAGTCTGCATAAAAGCTCAAACTGTGGTCTCCTTGTTGCGACAAAATCTAATCCAACACAAAATTGTTGTCTTCTTAGGAGTCTCTCTCGTCTCCCGCTTCCAACAGACTCTTTAAATCCAAATGGGGCTTCAAAAAACTTGAGTACAACATTGCCACTGTGCAAGGTATAACACGTTTACACTATTGTGATATACTGGGAGACACTGAGATGATCGATGTCATCCCATGTCGAATGAAATGTCAAATATGCCATTACTTAACTGTTTCAGAAAGAAGAGCCGACAAAAGGGAGGCGGATGGACCGAATTTTACAGAGGCAGGACAGCTGGTCGAGCTTTTACACAGGTGTGCTTCAGTCTCTCGAATCACCGTTAACCAAACCATAGCATCTTGTTTTATTACAACTGTGTCTGCATTTGTGTGATGCAGGAAAACGGGATGACGAACAAAGCTCAGATTCCTTCAAGTGAGTGGCTGATAAGCCTCATATATTGTTGGTAAAGATGATGCTGATGTCTTTGTGTGGAAAGAGAGGTTGGCAAGCATTTGTGGAAAAATAACCAAAAACACACTGTTAGAATTGGCAGTTTTCAACTCTTTAAACCAAAAACAGTTAAAACTGACCCATATGACTTTTATATTTGTATGACTTTAGAATCGATTCGTGTGTTTGTCCGATTACACTTTTTTTCACTCGTGTTCTCAGGTTAAATGACTGAAACAGTTTGCAGTGAATGAGCAATTCGCAGTTAAAATGTTTCTCCGTCTTCAGACCTCAGGATGGTTTCAGTGCTCTGCTGAGGCGCCATGGTGGCTCCAGGAGAAACTCCCTGCTGCGCTGGTGCCAAACTCGCACTCAAGGTTATAAGGTCAGAGAAGAGAACTTGAGCATTGCTGAGCTATATGAAGTCATGTGACTCTTTGTAACAAGTTAAATTCAGACAAATTGCAAATAATGTTTTGTGGCAGAATATTGAGATCACCAACTTCAGCAGCAGCTGGGAAGATGGTTTGGCGTTCTGTGCTGTTTATCACACCTATTTACCAACTCGCATCCCCTATGACAGCCTGAACCCAGCTGATAAGGTAAAACTCAAAATGCAATGATCTCACGAGAGAAAAGAAAGCACTCTTTAATTTCCATCTGCTGTCCCCGGACAGTTAAGCACAATATTAAATGACCTATAAAATACAAATACATACCAAAGACACCAGATTAAATTTGAATAGTAAACTCAAATGTGCAATGCTTAACACAATACAGCACAAAGTCGGTAAAGTTTCAGGGATATTAATCTGTCCAGTTAGGAAACATAAACCACTGTGAATCCATTTCACCTCCTTCTGTGCAAATTAAGTCACAAGGTGGACTGGAAAGGCAACAAAAAGACCGATCCCACAAATGGGAATGATTGTGGTGGCCAACATTGCTCTCGCTTGACCAATTATTCTCTAGTTACTTTTTTTTTTCTTCTCTTTTCTCTAATGTCCTTGCCACTACTGGTAGCATAAGACAGTACCTATTGTTCCTATTCAGGTTGCACAGTTAGTCCAGCTACTCCAGGATGGCACAACCATATGTGCCGCCACGAGGTTTCCTGTGTCTTTCAGAATAGTCTCACAAATGTGAAGGAAACAGTGGAGAAGAGAGCTGGACAAGGTTGTCTGCACAGTCACAGACCCACAGAGAAGACCTCCAGTCAATGACTGGCAGCATTAACTTATCTTCACACTCCTTCACATGTGCTCAGTGTGAACCTACTCTCATCTCTGAAGAGAACTGGGTGCAAATGGCGAGCCTCAATAGGTCTTTGTTGTGCTGGACACGAGTCCCACTAAAGGATGCCGGGCGTTCAAATCACCCCCATGGTCTCGGTCTCTGTAAGTTTGGTGAGAAACGTATACAAAGGGTTGCTGGAAGTCTGTCTCCTTCTGTTCCTTCTCACACAAAGGAGTAGATACAAGTCCATCTGATGGTTTGGTGCCCTTTGACCCTCCTACAGCTCTCTGTGTGACAGACACGCGGTTATACATGTGGAACCTGAATAGTCCATATGTGCTATCTTAATCCAACTTGTCATCTAAAATGCAAAAATAAGGGCTATGAAGTATATTTGCATTTACACATTCATGTCTGTAAATGTTCATACAAAACGTGTCTTTATTTTTACAGAAGGCAAACCTGAAGCTTGCTTTTAAGACGGGAGAGAGTGTCGGGATCTCTGCCACACTAGTGAGACATTTTTGTTCTTCTTGTTCAACTCAGATTTGTGTGTTTTACACAAATAGCTCAACTTTAACATTATTGTTCTTTATCTGCTTTTTAAAACTTCCTGTTTATCCTATGTGGCAGACAGTGGAGGAGATGCTGAAGGCAGAAGGACCAGACTGGCAGAGGGTCTTGGGATATGTCGAAAGTATTTTCCGCCACTTTGAGATGTGAAGTCTTCCGCCTTCGTTTTTTTATTTCTATAATTATGAATCAGGAGCTGAACCACGGAGACACAAGACGGAGCTCAGCTCTCTAAACTAAAACACGCTGGCAATACTGGACTCCATGACTTAAGTTTAGGTACCAGAACAATCTTTTTCACAGAAACAAGTGGAAGAAACTAAATAGCATTTCACTATCTGAGCCATTTTTAAAAAAAAAAAAAAAAATCTTAAACATGCACAGAAGTTATTCTGGATCTGAATACCTGGCTCGATGAATGTGCACAAGACACAAATCTAAATATGCCAGAAAGACTGCACACTGAACTACTTCCACATAAACTGGGTGCCATCTGCACTGGTTTTGCACAGTTTGCCTTGGTGAAGGGGGAAAAAAAGCACTTTTGGAAATGTAGTGTAGGTTCCAGAATCTGGGTCACTTTATTTATCTCGACTAATATTTTTATCCTGAACTTCTTCTGCCACAATATGTATTTATGCATCAAAGCCTAAGAGCTGTATAAGGTAGATATGTATTCAGATTTTATATGCTGGAATAGTGATCTTTTAACCCCAAATCCTATATGTAAAAGAAAAATTGCCTTTAATGAAATGTATATATGTAAATACATGTAATCGATTCAGGGTTTTTTTAAGTTTTTTTTTTAGTTGTTTTTTTTTTTTAAAGTATGGTAAACACTGGTATATAGATTAACTGCAATAATAAAGCATTTAAATGGAAATGAGGTTTTTTGGGGGGTTTTTTTGTTTGTTTGCACATTTTCTGCATTAACAATGCACACAGGTTCAGAGAAAACATTTTAATTTAAACAAAAAAGACATTTGACAGCATATAAAAATGGTACAAAACATGGCATCAAAGGAAATGATTAAGGTTAAGAAAGTGGTCATGGTGTAACATGTGACAAATAAATACAGAACAGTAAAGAAAAGCAATAATTAAGCAAGGGTACTTGAGATTAAACTGGAAAAGTTGTGTTGTCTTTCTTGGAATATTTAGTGTTTTTAAACAATAACCGCTCCACATAAAGACAGAACTGTTGACGGCATGCTGGATCTGCTCATAACTGCACTGTATTCCAAAGTTTAAATGGAAGTATCCTTGCGAACAATGGATGGAAGTAATATTTCCTATGAAGCCGGAATGGCGCCTCCTATAGGTGGTGTTGAAAGTGGCGGTAGGAGAAGAGATTTCAGTTTAGCAGACATGGCTGCGATTTCTGGGTCCTGGGTTTCATATATCTTGACCAGTCGGGCAAATTTAAGGACACCTGAAAGGGAAGCAGATGATCAGCATGACAAATTATATCATCTCCCCAGAATGACATGCAGCCTGTAACCAGTACAGACTGGAAGTTTCCATCGAAAGGGATCTATTACAGTTTGTTACTGACTTTTTTGGATTCTCCTAGAACAGATTTCTATTTCAACTCTTCTTTCTTTAAAGCAACTCCCTTTTGATTGGCTGCACCTTGCAGACAGGAAATTTAAACCACAAGTAGGCGGGGCATCTGTGCTGTGTGCCCGAATTGACCTCATTAAACCCGAGCCTTCGGCTCCCCGGGATTACTTATACATACACTGATTTTATTATTTAAAACTTTGGACATGTTTAATTTGAAAAAATTCCCTGTGTGTGATTAAAAATTGAGGCCCATTTAAAATATGTCATTTAGTATCTATAAAAAACAGTGATGTGCATATATGTTTGTGACACTGTAGTGAGGATGATATTAGTTTTGATAATAATGAACTCAGTAGGTGGAATATAAGTGTTTTAAAGACACTGTCTGGCTTTGTTGTTGCATCTTAAAGCTCCTCTGTGGATTCAGGCGGTCTCATCTGCTGCCGTCTTTGTACCTAATCCCATAACAATTTCATTATTTTTCCATCGAGCCTCTGTCTGAGCTATGCAATCTGTTGCAAGCCTCCTAGTTATAACTGTCTTTATGTCTCGGGTAGTTGATCAGACATCTCTCCAATGTGTGACTGGTATACATCTAAAGTGACTACAACCCTGCAAAGTTTGGTTTCTGTAACAGCATTGTGTGGGAGATTTAAGGTGATGTCTTTAGAGATAGAAAACGGTAAGAAACGTTTAGATGAGAAACAAATATGATTTATAAATGCAGCATTTATTTGTTCTTCTTTGAGTAGTTTAATGTCCAATTCATACATTTAAGACCCAAATTAAATTATATGAGTACTCTGCGTCATATCAGCCAACACTAATTAGCACCGGTGGGATCATTTGTTCTAGTCTGAACGGTGTCTTAAAATTATTTGAACTTTAGAGTAGTTTCTATTGTTTTAAGCCTTCAGAGAATAATGTCTTACACTTGGTACTTTAACTCAGAGAAAGGAACCTGCTGTCCTGAAAAAAATTCCACAGATAATCTTACTACTATGGTTGGCTCTTTGGACAGAGTTCATCCCTAATCATCTCAAAAACGGGGGGATTACAATTTTTTTTTTTTCTACAAAAACTAAATGGGAGGCCAGCAGTGGGCGAGCTGCTTATTTTCACAGTACACTGTTTGCACTTTTTCTCTAACCTAGCAAAGAGCAGGCTGCCACCTATAACAACACCACTGACCTCCAGGAGTACGCAGAGACTGTTACTGCCTACATC